TACCTATCTATCTATCTATCTTTCTCTCTTTCTCCATCTTCTACACGCAACACATTTCCCCGGATACCTTTAAGCTTACGTTACGGAAGAGTTGCGCTGAAGTTGAACACAGAACACTGATCGATCACATGTCATATATATTAAGTGTTTCTTAAATAAAAAACTGGACAGGTTTGGATAATATATATAGACGATGATATGTAGGTTTGATTGTAGATTTTGGATTTTAGGTTTTGTACTAAATGGGTGAAAGCGATTTGTGATTTGTTTCGTGTTAGTTTCATTAGATTAAAGGATCTGTTGCGTTTTATGATTAATATTTATCGTTATCGTTATCGTTTAGGGTCGTTTGGTGGAGCTGATGGTTAAAGAGAAAATGAGTTGAAAATTGAATAAATAAATGAAACTTTTTACTCAAGTCCTGATTTCTCTTGGTCTGAAGTAATATGTTACTCTATTAACCTAAAATGTAAAAAATAAATAGATAGATAAATAAAATAATAACAATAATTATAATAATAATGATAATAATAATAAGTGAATACGTGAGTTACGTTAGGATTTTTTTTTTTTCCATTTCTCATCCCATTTTAAATATACCCCACACCCGTCTGACTTATTACTACTATCATTATCATTATCATTATTACTACGAGCACTATCGCTATTATCATTACCATTATAATTACCATTATCAATATCATTATTGTTATTATCATAATCATTATTATTATTATCATAATCATTATTGTTATCATAATCATTATTATCATTACCATTGTAATTATTATTATCGTTATTATCATAATTATCAACATCATCACCATCAACACCATTACTCTTACGGCAAACCATCGTAAGAGAACGCAGAGACTGTCCATAGAGAACCGAGCGGTTTCTCTCCTCTCCGCGCCCGCACTTTCCCCTCTCTCCCCTCCCTTCCCCCCTATTCCTTCTCTCCTCCTCCCTCTCTCCTCCCCTCCCCCTTTCCTCTCCCAATCCCTCCCTCTCTCTCCTTCTCCCCCTCTTCCCCCCATCCCCCTTCCTTCGCTCTCCTTCCCCCCCCCCTTCCCTCCCCTCCCTCTTCCCCCCTCCCCTCCCCCAATCCCTCCCCCTCTCTCCTCCCCTTCCCTCTCTCCCCCCCCACCCCCCCTCCTCCGGTAGGCGGCCCTGAAGACGACGTCCGGCCGCAGCACGAATCACTGCGGCTCGATTGGCGAATCACGAGCCTTTTGTGGCGGGAGAGGCTGATGAGTATGGACGGGGGGGGGGGGGGGGGCGTGGTGGTTGAAATGAGAGCGTGTACTTACATATAGATTAATATATAGCTGTGTAGAGAGACAGACATACAGATACACACACACACAAATAAAAATATATACACACACAAATAAATAAATAAATATATATACAAACATATATACACACATACATGCATACGTCCACACATACACACGTACACACAAACACACACACATATATATATAAATACATATATACATAACATATATACACACACATATACATACGTATGTGCATACATATATACGTATATACATACATGCATACATACAAACATGCATAACATACATATAATATATACATATAAATATACATATATATGTATAATTATACATATATAAATATATATATAAATATATATTTATACACACACACACACATATATATCTATACACATATACATGTGTATTTGTACATGTGTATGTGTATGTGTATGTGTGTGTGCGCGCGTGTGCGTGTGCGAGTGCATGCGCGTGTGTCAGTATACATACACACACATTCATACATACATATATATATATATATATATATATATATATATATATATATATATATATATATATATATATACATATATACACACACAAACATAATGACAAGAATTCCTCGCGAGCGCTCGTCAATTCTCACTCTCTCCGCCCCCGCCGTGACGCCCATCGCCCGTCATCTGTTCACTATCCATTTAGCGCCACTTTCTCCCTCGGACTTTGCCAAATTTCTCACGTGACTTGAATCGCCTCCAGAAACTCGGACGCGCGAAGCTATTCTGCCGCTGCGGTTTGCTGCGTAAACGTTGGGTTGGTTGGGTTGGGCGACGATCGAACTACGGCGCGGAACGGATAATTTCGTTCGTGTGTGTTTTTGGCGCGCATTCCGTTTCGTTTTTTTTTTTTCTCTCTAATTCTGTCTGTCTTGTCTGTCTGTGTGTCTGTGTCTTGTCTGTCTGTGAGTCTGTGTGTCTGTGTGTATTGTCTGTCTGTCTTATCTATCTGTGAGTCTTGTCTATCTGTGTGTCTGTGTGTCTTGTCTGTCTGTATTGCCTATCTGTAAGTCTATCTGTGAGTCTCTGTGTTTGTCTGTCTGTCTTGTCTATCTGTGAGTCTTGTCTATCTGTGTGTCTGTGTGTCTTGTCTGTCTGTATTGTCTATATGTGAGTCTGTGTGTATTGTCTATCTGTGAGTCTTGTCTATCTGTGTGTCTGTGTGTCTTGTCTGTCTGTATTGTCTATCTGTGAGTCTGTGTGTTCGTCTGTCTGTCTTGTCTATCTGTGTGTCTTGTCTATCTGTCTTGTCTGTCTGTCTGCCTGTGTGTGTGTGTGTGTGTGTGTGTGTGTGTGTGTGTGTGTGTGTGTGTGTGTGTGTGTGTGTGTGTGTGTGTGTGTGTGTTTGTCTGTCTGCCTGTGTGTGTGTGTATGTGTATCTGTCTGCCTGTTGATCTATCTATCTATCTATCTCTATCTATCAATCCATCTATCTTTCTGTCTGCCTGCCTGTCTATCCGTCCATCTTTCTGTCTGCCTGTCTGTCTATCCACCCATCTATCTTTCTTTTTCATAATCATGCCTTCGGGTAAACGTTTTCTCTCGCTATGATTATTATTAATGGCGTTGGAATCCGGAAAGAAAGAACAGAATATTTGTAAAGGAAATTTCTTAAAAAAAGAAAAGGATTTTATTCTCCATTCTCATTTCAGAATATATTTTTAGATGTAACTGTCGGATTGCTAAAATTATTATATATATAGTATTGATAATGATAATAATAATAATAATAATAATAATAATAATAATAATAATAATGATAATAATAATAATAATGATAATAATAATAATAACAACAACAATAATAATAATAACAATAACATTAATTCTAATAGTAATGATAAAAATAACATAACATAACAATTATAACAACAATAATAACAATAATGATGATAACAATAATATTACTAACAAAAACATCAACATCATCAACAGCAGCAATAACAATATAATGATGATAATAATAATAATAACAAAAATAACAAAAGCAACAACAATAATAATAACAAAAGCAACAACAACAATAATAACAACAACAACAACCTAACCCTCCACCCACAAAAAAATAAAGTAAATAAATAAATAAATAAATAAATAAAAATTAATAAGCCCGTCGTCCCCACCTGCAAGTTCAAATCAGCCCCGATGACGTCACAAAAACAGAAGAAGGTTATGCGTAATTCGAGATGAATGCCGGGGTTCCCATTCCCCTCCCCTCCCCCCTACCCCCCTGTCACGGGAATCTCGTTCTTATGCACGAGCTACGGAGGATTCATTATGGCTTGGTTTGTGTATCGAAAGAGGCGTATGTTCTCGTGATTTGAGAGGTCGCGGGAGATGAGGAAGATGAGGAGGAGGTGAGGAAGAGGAGGAGGAGATGAGGAAGAGGAGGAAGAGATGAGGAAGATGAGGAGGTGAGGAAGAGTAGATGAGGAAGATGAGGAGGAGATGAGGAAGAGGAGGAGATGAGGAAGATGAGGAGATGAGGAAGACGAGGAGGAGATGAGGAAGATGAGGAGGAGACAAGGAAGATGAGGAGGAGAGGTTTTCATGAGGAATGAAAGTGGTAGAGGAATATTATGTCGGATAAAGGGTATTAGGAAAGTTTTATTAACGATGAGCGCCATGGAATATACAGGCAGGGAGGTTAAAATACATCTAGTAATATAATTTTCTGAAACGTCGATATCATGAGCGGGAATAGGTCTCACACTTCACTAAGTCTCGTTTTGTGAAGTGCTATCATATATCTCTCACGTTTTATTCTATGAAATGTTTCTCTCATTTCTCATACGTATGATGTTTAAATATACTCACGAGTATAACGACTCAACGGGAAGAGTTAGAAAACCTCACAGGATCATTTCCTACTGTCGCGTGGGAGTTACCATTGGCGAGTGGTTCGTATAGTTATCCCATAAAAATATATACAATACGTACGAAAGTTATCCATCTATGCTAAAGTATTAGTGGTAATCCCTAATCAAATATCAGATAAAAATAAACGCTTAGGCACTATCATTTCATTAAAAGCATCTCGACATGAACAAAAAAAAAACATCTCGACGGTCC